CGCCGGTAGGCGCGCTATGCGCGCGTCGCGGCTTTGCGGCGATAACCGGCTCTGAATTTTGTATAAAGTCCTACCCTATGTTGGCAAGCTCGCAACACGTTGGCGCGACTGCGGCGGTGAGCATATTGCGAAGTGTCTTTTAATTCGAGTTCTCTTTTCTTGCGAGTTGTCGCATTACGATATATAAAGTAATTTTGCAGAATTTACAGATTTTGTCACTAGCAAAGGACTTATAATTGGGAACGAGAATTTTTTCCATAAACATTTTTTTATAAGACTGTAAGAAATTGAACTTGCTTTTTCTTCGAGGCCTATTCGCACGTCGTCTACCGGTAATGCATGTGCCTTGAGATCTGGCCTGGGGTCGATTAAATAGACTTTCCGAGCACTCCCAGAACAGTGTAAAGACCCTGCTTACCAAAATTTTGGCGCCGCTGGCTGAAAAAGAAATCAAAAAGCCGTTTTTGGGCCAATTTTTGAAAAATTGCGTTTTGTGGGCTTGGCTTGCGTTCCCTCTCGAAATTAGTATATATTGGAGCCAAAGGCGCCTGTAGAAAAATTTTAGGGTTGGTCGGCCTAAAATGGATGTAATAGAATAATACCAAAGGGAGACCCTTTGGCTGGAGAGAGGGTGAAATCACTGAAAGGCGGAGGCTTCCGCCCCACTACCACCCCTGTAAGCTATACCTTTTTCAACATTCCTAATGGTGTTTTCCAGAAAATTTAATTTCAACAAATTTAGTTCCTCACTTTTATTTCATGAATGCTTGCGTGGTTTTCCAAGCAAAGCACTTCATTTTCAATAAACTCTACGAATTCAAAGCAATGATAGTATCCAAAGAAAATTGATTGCAATAGCTCCTAGAACGAGAACGAGATATCTTCGAATATAACCCAGCGAGTGTTTTTTGATGTAGGTTGAATGATTGTATGATGTATGATTCTTGCATTTTGTATGACTCTTGATGCATTGATTGTGATTTCGTTTTTAGTTTGGATTTTAATTTCAAATGCAGCTGTTGAAATTATACACGAGGAAATTCTATAGAAAATGACAGAGAAGTACGTTTTGAAATTAAAATTCAGGACAGATACTTGATATTAAAATTCAGTTTGTGTGCTCTTGCGAGAGAAAATGACTTCTAATCGGGAACATAACTTTTCCCCCGTAAATAACCTATCTTACAGATCTGTAAAAAAATCAGACTGGTTTTTATAAAGAGTGGGATTTGGCCTAGAGGTTGCTTAGGTTTTATATAAAAACAAGTGGTAAAGCGCGAGGTTTCGGATTCTAAGGTCCGTAGTTCGAACCTGTTTCTGGGAAAATTTGAGCTTGCAGACATTGGTTTGTCTGCTGATGTTTTGTCGGCTTAATTCCACTCATCTATTTTTTTTTCTGATTTCGCAATTTTTTCTGCAAAAGAAAATCGTTCTGTAATTTGCAAGTTTATGAACCCTGATTGTGATAAGGTTCCTTTTTTGAAAATGGCTGGGGCTTATATTCTTTCGCCTTACTCTTTTTATGTATCGCCGTTTGAGGAGTTATACTAGAGTTATATGCTTTATACTTTTCAGGAGGGGTCGGATGTGAAAGGGGTTGGGCGTCGTCGAGTTTTAAAATCTAAATTGTTATGACCTTAATTTTTCATGGTAATTACGAATAGTGAACGTAATGAAAAGGCTTAAAATGGTCTTGGTAATTTTGTTGGTTTTTTTTTAGTAAAAAGTCCTAAATTTTGTTCACGCTTATTTTTGATTTTTCGTGCTTTGATTTTTGGTTTCTTTTCAAGTTTAGTTCATTTCTTTTGTTAAAGGGAAGGTAAACTCCACTATTGAACAGCGAAATTGTAAAGGTAGTGAAAAACGTGATTGACTTCTAGTTTCGAAACTGGAATATAAAGTTCAGATTTCCCAGCTCAAATTGGGTTAATTTTATCAAAAAAGCACCAATCATAAACCAATGAAGTTCAAAGAGTTTTATGGACAACTTGTAAAAGGGTATTTTTGGGTTAGCAAATTGTATAACAAATTCATCTGAATCTTCGATAGCTTAGCTGATAATAATTGCATGTTTGAAGATGCAAAAGCCTAGGTTTGAATCTGGCCAGAACTAGTTTTTTTTTCAATTGGTAAATGTTCCGATTTAAAAAGTGTCTTTTTTGTCTGACTTGCCTTTTCGCGGATTTTACTGAGCTGTAATCAAATTTCATTGTAATTGAAATAGTTTTTTTCAGTTATTTGTAGTTTTGCTGAATCTTGTCTTTTTTTCGGGCGAGAAACTTTTTTTACCTCAAGTTTTTCGACTTATGTTTTATCGCCTTAGTGGCCTAGTGTTGTGTTGGGAGTCAAGTATTTATTTTATTTGATAAATTCAATTGCAGTGAATAATGTTTTTTGTGCTAACTGAAAGTTTATTTGCTGTCTTAGAATTTTGTTAATCTGCTCACTTTTGTCGGCTTATTTCCCGCAGAACGGTCTTTTTTGAAGGTTCCAGGGGCGGATTTTAGGGCGGACGCCCCCTCCCCCCTCAGGGATTCGACACCCTGCCGACCCAAACGGTCCCCCCTTTGGTACTTTTTAAGAAATCCATTTTTGACCGACCGACCCTAAAATTTTTCTAAAGGCGCCTTTGGCGCCAATATTTACTAATTTTGAGCGGGGAGCGCGCGCCGAATAACGCAATTTTTTGGTCAAAATTTTCCAAAATGTGCCTCAAAACGCCTTTGTTACTGATTTTTTCAAAAATTTTGGAAGGTTCGGTTCTTAAACATACATTTGAAGCCTTTTTTCAGCTTGCGATAAGCAAGTGTTAGCAAATTGGAATACAGACTTTTTTCTGGTTAACCATTTCTTTAACTATTTGATTTTTTTGACAAAAAAAATATTCGATTTTTTATTCTTCGGTTTCCCGATTCATCTGCAGAAAATCGTAGTCATTGTTTCTTTTATTATTGAGAGGAAGTTTTGAGTTTTCTCTATGAGTTTTCTACATTTTTCTATACATTTTGCATCACGGTTGAAATTGTTGCGGTATAACTTTTCATTCAATCCTAACGACGTATTTTGATTTACCTAGTTTTGTTTAAACATTCGGCGAAATAAAAATTGTTGTCGAGTTATTTGCACGCAGTTTATCATGTGCAAGACGGTTGAAAAATCTCAAACACCATTAAATTATTTGCTGTGAAAGTGAAGCGGTTAGCTGTGCATGTAACACATATAATTGTGTAAAGACTAGTCCTAGAAATTGGGATAGAATAAATTGTCAATTTTTGCTTTGTTTTCTCTTTACCTGAGCCTCGCAATTAATACTGCAAGCTTAAAATGCAGGCAAAAGCTCTAAAACTAGGCGAAGATTAGTCAAATTTAAATCTAATTGTTCTGCCATCAAATTTTCTAACTGGATTTTTAAATGCAACCGAATCCAAAGTTGATCGGATAAATGATTACTTTAATATATAACATGATTTTTTTCCTGTAAACAACTTAGTTAACTCTTTAACTTCGTTCGATTAAACTTCTATTATGGCTTCTAATCGTGAGCGTGGTCTAAGTTTTTTTTGTACCCAGTTTATGTCAGCGTCTGACTCGGAGTTTATATAAAGGTACCGCGACAACTCGCAAAAAAAGACAACTCGCGACAAAAGACAACTCGCAAATTTTAAGGAAAGCGACTACTTGCAAGTTTTTGAAGCTAAATTGGAAACTTTATATTCTCGGTTTAAGGTCGCCGGTAGGCGCGCTATGCGCGCGTCGCGGCTTTGCGGCGATAACCGGCTCTGAATTTTGTATAAAGTCCTACCCTATGTTGGCAAGCTCGCAACACGTTGGCGCGACTGCGGCGGTGAGCATATTGCGAAGTGTCTTTTAATTCGAGTTCTCTTTTCTTGCGAGTTGTCGCATTACGATATATAAAGTAATTTTGCAGAATTTACAGATTTTGTCACTAGCAAAGGACTTATAATTGGGAACGAGAATTTTTTCCATAAACATTTTTTTATAAGACTGTAAGAAATTGAACTTGCTTTTTCTTCGAGGCCTATTCGCACGTCGTCTACCGGTAATGCATGTGCCTTGAGATCTGGCCTGGGGTCAGAAATCTGGCTGGATCTTGTTTTTTTTTCGATGTTTTAGACATTTTTTCCGTGAAGTTATCGCTTTTTTGCATATATTTTTTAAATTTTTGATTGAAAGTTGTAGATGTAGCCTCGTTGACTCTAGACGACGTTGGGTTCGTTTTTAGGTTTGGTTTTTTTTTTGTTATTGAGATTCGTTGTTACTTTAATTTGCCAACTCTGACTTGAATACTTTCCTTTTTTTGCTTGAATGGTTTCGGCGTATGATATATTCAAATTTACTGATCCAGCAGTTTCTGGCACCGCCATTCATTGCAGGCATATCATCTGATCAATTTTCAAAATAGGTTCTATTTACTGAGCTGAGGGGCGGATTTAGGGGGTACGCCCCTTCCTCAGGGATTCGATCCCGTACCGACTCAAAGGGTCCCGCTGTGGTAATATTTCAAGGCATCCATTTTTTGACCGACCCTAAAATCTTTCTATAAAGGCGCCAATATATACTAATTTTGAAGGGGGAGCGCGCGCCAAAAAAAAACACGCTTTTTTAATCAAAGTTTTCCAAAAACTGCCTTTGTCTTTTTTTTTGAAAAATATTTGGGTCTTAATCGTGAATAGGGAGAGCTCAAAATATCCTATTGGTCGATCCAAATGAAGGTCGACAATTTTTTTTTTGAAAAAACTGGTAGTTGGAAGTATTAAACATGCAAGTGCTTAAGGTCTAATCACGGTATGCTTTGAAAAGTGCATCTCGGTCGTTTGACTTGTTTTCATGAATTTTTGTAGCTGAAGTTACCTGGGTCGATCGAGCGTTAAGAATCGAACGAAAACTTTTGGCTACTTGAACTATGCTGCAAGCTCGATCGTTACTCTGTTAACTATCGAACATTGTAGAGACTTTTTTTACCCAGAATTGGCCGTTGCAGATAAGAAATGAGCCACAACAAACACCTTGCTGGTGAACAGAAACTTACTCCAAATCAAAAGTTTTTCGTCAATTTGACCCCCGAGCAAAGGTATGAAGAACTGAAAAAAATACACCCTGGAGTTCACACTGTTAAACTGTTTGACCCCGCGACATGTTGTAAATTAGAAGAAAAGGTCGAAAAGGTGAAATCAAATGCTTTGGCAGGAAAGTATAAAAGGTTTACGTTTGATAAAGCCCCTCTGAGAAATAAGTATTTCTTCGGAGAAGGTTACACTTATGGATCTCAATTGGAGAAGAAAGGAGAGGGTAGTGAAAGACTGTTTCCGGAAGGAACTATTGACCCGATTCCGAAATGGATTTACAAGTACATCATTGCACCTCTCGAGGAAAAACAATTGGGTCGAAATTCACTATTCAAAACCAATAATGAAATATCGGCATATGCGTCGAAATTGTTGTAGTTAAGAATAGGAGTAGCTAAAAGGATAAAGTTTGCGTATCATATAATTAGCAACCTTTTTTGGTGACGATAGAAAATGCGGAGGATTTTTTATTCGGGTGTTTGTTTTTTTCTCTCGCAAAATTAGGTACGGCAAACCAAGGGCGGATCTAGGAATTTTTCGAGGGGGTAGGCGGGATTTTTTTTTGGGTCGAGAAAAATGGTTTTGTGGGATCTCACGAATCACTAAAAAACCCTATTTCGACCAAATTTTTATCAAAAAATTGCGTTCCACCAATTTTTTTTTGAGTTATAGACTAATTTCAACCAATTAAAGCGATCGAGTAACTCGAAGAAATCGAATAATTTGTTAATTCGAGGTTTATCTTTAATTTTCATTATTGACCTTTATAGAGCTGCTTTTTGTCGTTTTCTCGCAAGTGTGTGCGAAGCAAAGCTTCGCCTCTGTGTATGAAATAAATACCCCCTAAAAACACTACTGCCACAAATAGTGATCGGAATTAGTTGAGGGATATATCATCTTAAAGGCCTTTCAGTCAAGATTCGAACGACATTAAATTATTTTCAAGAAATCCGAGTGTCGAGAGAAACCGGTTGAAAATTTTTGAGTTATAGACTATTTTCAAGCGATTAAAGCGATAGGTAACGCTTTCCTGGTAAAACAAAATTTTTTAAAGAAAATTAAAAAGTTATTGTGATATAGATTGCTTATTTTTTCTGAGCAAGTGCATGAGCTGAAATTTTGTACGTCTTTTTTTTCAGCTATGATATTTATTTATTTTTTGTTTAAGTGATACTTAAGTATGTTTTGTTAAGTCGTATGTTGATTCTTTAGGCAATTTTTATATCGGATTCAAACAGTAGCGGCTACAGGGGCTTCGATCCCTCATCAGACAAGACAACGAGTCCCCCTTTAGTTCTTGTATTTAACTGCAATTTTTTTTTTTTCAAATAAATGCCAGCGGAGCAGAAATGTTTGGCAAAATGAGGTCTTTTTAGCATTTTGAGAGCTCTCCGAATCAGTTCAATCAACAAACCAAACTTCCTAGTCCTCCCTGTGTTTCTTGGAAAAAAAACTGATCCGTGCCTGGATTGAATTTTTTATGGGAAAGCTTTGTGGGAATGCTTTGGACCTTTCTGGCCGAAAGCTCTGTTTTTATGTATGGTTGACATTTTTAATTGTTGTCCACCACTTCAGGAAGTGAGAAAAGTTTGAGACAGGGTCTTTTTTCCAACGCATTTTGGTTAATTCAAAAAGGTTCGCATGGAGTCATGTAGAATCCTTTTAAAGCCCTCTGAGCCTTGATTTGGATTCCAAAATAAAAATATAAATTCTCAGTGTCGATAAAAACTTGGTCTTCATTTTTTGCGTTTTCAGACCATGATGAACATACTAAATTTGAGCTCAACTTATGATGAATGTAATTAAATCTTGTTCCTGTAGTTTTTCTTTTCCAATTGCCCTTTACTTAAAGACCATTCAATTCTTTTTTCGATTTTCAGAATTTTTAATAAACTTAGTGTTCGGAAAGCTGTGCGGCGTGCACAGCAATCGAGTCACCTCGTTTTCTTACCGTTTAGTTTTTTTTCCATCTCGCGAGTAAGGGCTTGACCAAATTGATTCCCTTTTTGTTCACAAAAAAACATCTAGGTGTCGATTTTTAATGGAGATTTTGATGCAAAAATTGTAATAAAATAGAGTTCGGTTGCTATGCAGTTTTTTGCAAAAGAAGAATAAAATTCAACTATTGTTTTGGTTTTGGCTACAGATTCGTTTTGTCATGATAATTTAATTCCTCGGAAAAAAAGCCATTAAGACGCCAAAAGTTTTGTGTTGACTCATGAGCTCTCATACTTGGATAACAAAAAGATTTCATTTTGTAGCATTTTTAGGTTGTATGATTTGTTTTCGTGAAAGGTAAGTTTCTTTCCGATTAAGTTTATAAATTGGATTGGTGGTTGATTTTCAAGAGTAATGAATGTAGTGAGTACTATTCTATAGGTCTTGATGAGTTTTTTTTTGTTTTCTTTTTAGGAAAAGTCTTAAAATTTGTTCATGCTCAATTTGATTTTTTGCTGTTTGACTTCTTTTAAAGTTCAATGCATTTCGATAGTAAAAAAGAAGACAAACTCCACTATCGAACAATGAAAGTGTTAAGGCCAAGAAAAAGGTGATCGGCTTTTAATTTCGAAAATGGAAATTAATTATCAGATTTCCCAGCGAAATAAAAGTTTTAGCTATTGATCCAGTCTTCTCAAATTAGGTTAATTTTGACAAAAAATGTGTATCATAAATTGTTCTACAAGTTCAAAGAGCTTTAAGGCCATCTATTTTTCTATTCGAAGTTGAAAAGTTTTATTCCTTGCGTTCGTTACTCTTTTCCAACTGTCAGTTGGCTATTTTTTTGATTTCTTTTTGAGCTCGCAATAAAATTGTAGTTTCAAAAGTAGGTTTTACTTTTAAGATATTCCAGTGCAGTTATATAATTACCTATTTAATTTTTTTTCGAGTAGATGTTATATCATAATGAAATAGCTAAATTTTAACGCTAAGTTATATTTCTCCATTTTCAAATAGCTATTTTATCATAGTGAATTAGCTAAGTTATATTGTGAAGTGCAGTGTTTTTTTGTGTTTTTACTATCTAAACTCTTATTTATTTATAATCCAGTGGGTATTACAAAATTAAATCATGTTGTACAAATTCATAGACGCCCCTAAACATCATAATAAACCTCAATGTAAGGTAATATAATCAAAGCAAATACAGTACAAATTCAACTTAATGACCATATACATAAAATTGAAATGAACTTTTTAAAACGTTTTCTGTCGTTGCTTATTAGGAATGGCTCCGGTGTCCGATGGCGTGTCTCAGTACTCATGATACTTGAGAGTTAAAGTGCATTCTAGAATGATCAGAATGACTTAAGACTGCTCAAATAAGATCCCACTGTAAACTAGTGGTAAGTTTCACACCTTTGATACTGAAAAACGCCTACCTCGTACGACTGTCTGTAGGCTATGTTTTGATCAGTGATACTATTGTGATATGCGAACGCCGAAAATATTTCACGGAATGCAGGCGCACGACGCAGATTACAAATTGACCATTTTCTCAAATTTTCTTGATTTCGACCAACGTTCTGTTATCATGGTTACGACTTTCAAAAAATGCGCAATTATTTCACGCTACCCATTTTTTTGTTTTCAATTAGGTTATTTTGTTTTATACTCGGGTAGCTTAAACTGTTTTGATTACAAAGAAACAATAAATTTGAATTCCGACCTGACGCAGTTCCAAAAGACTGGATAAACAGTGCTGTTATCAACGACTACCTTCCAGGTGGATGTATAGTGTCCCACGTTGATCCAATCCACATTTTTGATCGACCTATAGTCTCCATTTCTCTCTTCAGTGACTGCGCTTTAAGTTTCGGCTGTAAGTTCTCATTCAGACCTATCAGAACTTCGAAACCTCTGTTGTCCGTGCCTCTCAGAAGCGGCTGCGCATGTGTAATGTCGGGTTATGCCGCTGATGAAGTCACCCATTGCATAAGACCCGAAGATGTATTAGAACGCCGAGTGGCGATTATTGTTCGTCGCGTGTTTCCAGACGCTCCGAGATTAACTACAGAGCAGTTTGACAATCTGTGCAATAAACTTGACAGACAGGTTGTTCACCGGAACAAGTTCCTACAATCAGATGAATCGTGCAATAGCAGATTTGTTTCAAGCTGCGATAGTGTAAAAGGAGCCAAGCGGACATTTGACAATCGCGATAACACTAAATGTTTTGATGATTCTAATTTGTCGAAATATGAAGGACAGTGCAACGATGACAAAGTGAAATGTGCAAAATTTTAATGAAATATTATTTGGTGCTAAATTTTTAGGAAGGCTAAAACAGCTTTCAAATCAAAATTCGTTATAAATTCTATTGGTTTTCTGTTTGTCCGATTTTGAGAATTTTGCTGAAAATTATTTTGTCTGTTTTTTTTTTAATTCTAGCTCTGTAAAAATATGAAGCACATATTGAATGCTATTAACAAGAATATTTGATCTTTCTATTCCCAATCTTTAGGGGGGTATTTTCATGTATTTCGTTGCAAATGCCTTTTTACAACTATGAACGTTGTGAAGACTCATATATAAGTCTTGATGATTTTTCTGTTTTTTTTTCAGGAGGAAGTCTTAATTTGTTCACGTTCAAATTGGATTTTTCGCTGTTTAGAACAAAGTGGATTTTGGTTTTTCACATTTCCCGTGTTCCAGTTTTATCATTTTTTGCCAACTTATCAAAAGAGTCATTTTGTGTCAATTTTTTTTGACAATCATAAATTTAGAGTTTTGTGGACATTTTTTTACTTTAAAGTTGACATTTTTGCAAAAACTAGTGAGGTATTTTGTTTCCTTGCGTTCATTGAATCATTTCCAACTGTCTGTTGGCTATCTTTAAATTCGGAAAAAGACTTACATTTTGTTAGCATTCAATTTTCTGTTTTGATTGTTTAATTTTTAGTATATTTAGAAGAAAAAAAATTACGTGTGCCACCATAAGTCACAGCGAAATACAGCTCGCGCTTTCTGACGCAAAGGACAAAATTTAACAGAACAGATAACTCGTATAAAACTTGACTGAAATTTATATTTAATTTTTTTTATGAAATTGGCGGCCAAGTATCAAATCTTCTATAGCGTCAAAGCTTTTTGATATGGATAAATTGTGATGGTTTTTATTAAGGCGCCTTTAGAAAAATTTTAAGGTCAGTCAGCCAAAAATGGATATCTCAAAATAGTACAAAAAGGGTCGGCAGGGGGTCGAATCCCTGAGTGAGAGGACGTCCGCCCCCACCCCCGCCCCCAAATCCGCTACTGGTTTTAACTAAGATCGATTAATTGGATTTGATACTTTTCTATGGTGTTTATTGGGCTCTCTTCCGGTTTTGAGGTGTGTAACATATTTGTCATCCGAAAGTTTTTTCCAATCTTCTGTTCTGGCGAATTGATCGTTTGTTAGTAGATTCCTTGTATCTGGTTTGAAATCTGGATCTTATCATCGGTTTCCCGTATTTTTCAATTTTTATTTTGAAATAACAGAGAAATTATTTGAATTGTTTGTTCTCTGAGCTTCTAGTACGAGCTTCAGTTATCTCTGATTAATTCAAGCAAGGTGTTGGGATCATGTTTTGATGTTATTTGAATCAAATGTATCATATCACTCCCCCTGGTGATAGCCAGGATTTTTCAGGTTTTATTTAAGGGACTTTGTGTGTTACGAGGTTCCTTCGGCAGGACTAGCTCACTTTTAATGGAATGTGGGGTTCGTGATTTTTTGTATGGTGAATTATCTAATTTTGGCCTACAATAATAGTCTGATTGATTTTGAGTCTGATTGATTATTTTGCTCATAAGCGTTTCGTTGATAAGTTGTCGTTCATTTTCAAGTTTTCTTTTTCTCCCGTTTTTGCTTTCTTAGCCGGAAGTGGTTGAACGCCGAAAAAAAGTCTCGGACTCGTTGCCGCCATTTTCTGGCTATATCACTGATTTCGTTGCTCAGATAAGTAGTTCTACTATTTTCTTGAAAACTTTGTTTACATACTGCATTTTTCGGGTTTCGAATAAATTTGGAACTTATGGGTACGAGCTGCTGAATTGTTCGCAGCAGTCAAGTGTTTTAGAGATACTGGTATTTTCTTTGTTTTTCCGTTTGATTGTTCCGACCATTGAAAGGTGGAGGAACTTTGTTCGGTTTTTTTTATTGTTTTTTAAATCCGCTTCTACAAATCATCAAAATGATTCGCGTGATTTATCTTATTCAAGCTCTTTCAGCCGCGATTCGAAAGACATTGGAATTTGTTTTAAAATTTGCTCCAGTGACGAGAGGAAACGGTTCGCTTTATGTCTAATTTCGAGCGAGCAGACCTGTAACAGGCTTTTAAAAATGCAACTTATAAAACTAACTTTTAACGAAATAAAAATTGTTCTCGAAGTTTGTTGTAGCGCCCCCTTTTCAGAAAGAATCAAAATTTTTTAAATCAAAGTTCTAGGTTTTCGCTTAGTCAATCTGAAGAAAAAACTATTTTGTAGTTTTGTATGAATAAGATCGGAACATTCTGTGCTATTTATGCAGCAACTGGCTCGTTCAGTTTCATGATTTGTCCGTGAAACAATAGGCGAAGTAAGCGAATGCCTGACCGCGCGTTCTGATATCTGTGATTTTAGTTGGTTATGATTAAATTGTTCTCTGAGCTTCTAGTACGAGCTTCAGGTATCTCTGATTAGTTCAAGCAAGGTGTTGGGATACTTTTTGGATGTAATTTGAATCAAATGTATCATATAACTCCCCCTGGTGATAGCCTGGACTTTTCAGGTTGTATTTAAAGGATTTTTTAAAGATTATCTTACGAGTTAAGTGCAGGCTGTAGCTTTTTGTAGTTGACTTAATATACGGTCTTGTTTTTTTTGCTCGCAAATTTTTTTTTACTGCGAGGTGCCGCGTTACGAGGGTCCTTCGGTAGAACTAGCTCACTTTTAATGGAATGTTGGGTTCGTGATATTTTGTATGGTGAATTATTTGATTTTGGCCTACACTAATAGTCTGATTGATTTTGAGTCTGGTTGATTATTTTGCTCATAAGCGTTTTGTTGATAAGTTATCGCTCATTTTCAAGTAATCCTTTCGTCCCTTTTATGCTGTCTTAGCAGGAAGTAGTTGAAAGCACAAAAAAGAGTTTCGGACTCGTTTCCGCCATTTTCTCGCTATATCCCTGATTTCGTTTCTCAGATAAGTAGTTCTACTATTTTCTTGAAAACCTTGTTTCCGTACTGCATTTTTCGGGTTTCGAATAAGTTTCGAATTTATAGTTACCGGCTGCTGAATTTTAAGTGCATCCACTGCTTCGTTGTTCACAGTAGTCAAATGTATCAGAGATAATGGTATTTTCTTTGTTTTTCTGTTTGATTGTTCCGACCATTGAAAGGTGGAGGAACTTTGTTTGGTTATTATAGTTTTTTTTTAAATCTGCTTCTACGATTAATCATCAAAATGAGTCGCGTGATTTATCTTATTAAAGCCTTTTCAGTCGTGATTCGAACGACTTTGGAATTTGTTTCGAAAAAAATCGCCCCGGTGACGGGAAAAAACGGTTCGCATTTTTTTGTCTAATTTCGAGCGACTAGAACGAGCGAGCAGGCCTGTAACAGGCTTTTAATAGTGCGCTCAACCGTAAACTTTCTTTTACCCAAATAAAAATTGTTCTCGAATTTTCTTGTAGCGCCCTCTTTTCAGAAAGAATCAAATTTTTTCATCAAAGTTCTAGGTTTTCGCTTAGTCAATCTGAAAAAATTTTGTAGTTTTTGTAGGAATAAGATTGGAACATTCTGTGCTAATTACGCAGCAACTGGCTGGCTTGTTCAGTTTTATGATTTGTCCCTGAAACAAGAGGCGAAGTAACGAAAGCCTGACCGCGCGTTCTGATATCTGTGAGTTTAGTTGGTTATGACTTATTTGTTCTCTGAGCTTCTAGTACGAGCTTCAGTTATCTGTGATTAATTCAAGCAAGGTGTTTGGATACTTTTTTGATCTTATTTGAATCAAATGTATGATAACACCTCCCCTGGTGATAGCCAGGAAATTTCAGGTCTTAATTAAGGGATTTTTTGTGTTACGAGGCTCCTTCGGTAGGACTAGCTCATTTTTAATGGAATGTGGGGTTCGTGTTTTTTTTTGTATGGGGAATTATATGATTTTGGTCTACACTTATAGTCTGATTGATTTTGAGTCTGATTGATTATTTTGCTCATAAGCGTTTCTTTGATAAGCTGTCGTTCATTTAAGTTTTCCTTTTGTCCCTTTTTTGCTTTCTTAGCAAGAAGTGGTTGAAAGCAGAAAAAGAGTCTCGGACTCGTTGCCGCCATTTTTCGCTATATCATTGATTTCGTTTCTCAGATAAGTAGTTCTACTATTTTCTTGAAAATCTTGTTTCCGTACTGCATTTTTTGGGTTTCGAGTAAGTTTTGAACTTATAGGTACGAGCTGCTGAATTGTTAGTGCATCCACTGCTTCTTTGTTCACAGCAGTCAAATGTTTCAGAGATAATGGTATTTTCTTTGTTTTTCCGTTTGATTGTTCCGACCAGCGAATGTCGGAAGAACTTTGTTTGATTATTATTGTTTTTTTTAAAATCAGCTTCTACAAATAATCATCGGAATGAGTCGCGTGATTTATCTTATTAAAGCCCTTTCAGTCGTGATTCCAACGAAATTGGAATTTGTTTCGAAAAATTCGCCCCAGTGACGAGAAAAATTGGTTCGCTTTTTTTTGTCTTATTTCGAGAGAATCGAACGAGTGAGCAGGCCTGTAACAGGCTTTTAATAGTGCGTTTCACCTTTAACTTATAAAACTAACTTTTACCCAATTAAAAATTGTTCTCGAATTTTCTTGTAGCGCCCTCTTTTCAGAAAGAATCATTTTTTATCAAAGTTCTAGGTTTTCGCTTAGTCAATCTGAAAATTTTTTTTTTAGTTTTTGGAGGAATAAGATTGGAACATTCTGTCCTATTTATGCAGCAACTGACTGGCTTGTTCAGTTTTATGATTTGTCCCTGAAACAAGAGGCGAAGTAAGCGAATGCCTGACCGCGCGTTCTGATATCTGTGATTTTAGTTGGTTATGATTAAATTGTTCTCTGAGCTTCTAGTACGAGCTTCAGGTATCTCTGATTAGTTCAAGCAAGGTGTTGGGATACTTTTTGGATGTAATTTGAATCAAATGTATCATATAACTCCCCCTGGTGATAGCCTGGACTTTTCAGGTTGTATTTAAGGGGTTTTGTGTGTTACGAGGTTCCTTCGGTAGGACTAGCTCACTTTTAATGGAATGTGGGGTTCGTGATATTTTGTATGGTGAATTTTTTGATTTTGGCCTACATTAATAGTCTGATTGATTTTGAGTCTGATTGATTATTTTGCTCATAAGCGTTTTGTTGATAAGTTATCGCTCATT